CCCTTGCACAAAACGACGATCATTTTTCTAATTTCATAGATAACAGAAGACTGTATTTTTTCTATATAACCCCCCCCCTGACGTTAAAGCTGGATCCGCCCCTGGTGTTTTTTCCAGTTTTTCGGTGAGATTCGATAAAGTAAGAGTGAAACTAGATGAAACTGTTGCTAATGACGTAACTTTTTAAAATGCCTTCTGAGAAAATGTTGAAATTTCTCCAAAAAATAGAATTTTTCACCCAAACTAGAAACACCATCAAAGGGCTTGAAGCGCATCTTATGTAACTCAGCTGTTTTTGGAGATATTTTGAAAATTGAAACACGGTTCGGTGCATGGCAGAATTGTTTAACATTTGCTCACAAATTTTAAAAATTTTCCCCAAAATCGCATAATTTTTGAATAAATTAGGAGCGTCAGAAAGTATTACGAGCCTTCAGCGCATCGAATTTTCTCACGTGGTTTGGAACCTATTTACGAAGTTTTGCTGAAAACAATAATTTTTGAAAATGTGTTTTAAGAACCTTTCGAAATCACCTCAAAAAAATTGATTTTTGGTCAAAAAGAGCATCAAACAACTTGAAGCGCATGCATCTCATAGATCTCAACTGTCTTTGAAATACTTTGGAAATTGAAAAAGTATTCTATGCAGGGCAAGATTCTTTTTTAGCTTCGATTTTTGATGAAAAATTCTGTTTTTTTTTAATTTTTGCTCCCTACAGTTATAAAAGTTGTCCCAAAATTCCAGAATTTTTAAATAAATGCCGCAGTTCAGAGAATGTCTAGAGCTTGAGCGCAGCTCACTTAACTCGCACGTTCGCAATATATTTGAAAAAGTGAATAGATTTTGTGATTTTTTAAAAATGTGAATTTTTGAAATTGCCCCAAAAAATAGGATTTTTCACCAAAAAACGGAATCAAAGCTTGAAGCGCAGCTACTCAAATATTTCGGCAAGACATTTCCCTGAAATTTATAACATCACCCAAAAGTTCCAGATTTTAAGAGCTTAAGAAAGTCTCTAGGGCCCCAAACGCATATCATTTAACTGGCACATTGTTTCAATTCTAAAATGATGATTTTCCGAAGAAATTTATCAGTTTATTGCCGTCGCTTTTCAAATGTGCGCTGTGAGCATTAAAGCCATAACTCGTAATATGAAACACGCAAAAGGACTTTTTAACACACTAGTTCAACTAAAAGCGCATTAATTATTGAAATATTCTCAACATGCGCGTCCCAGTGGCTCGAAAAACATCGCTTAATTTGCGGAAACAATTCGTCCAACTGCACCGTTTCTTTGATTCGATTTCGCCATCAACCTAGTTAACTCGATACATCGCGAACAATCAGTTTCGTGTAAAGATCAACTGTTGGTGATGACAATAATTAACGAAAACTTCCGTTGCAACGCAAGTTTTTCCTAGTTTGTTTAACCGTATCGGCTAATCCCTGGACATTTTTTAAACATCGCGCTAAACCGCGTTAAAGCACACACAGAAAAACGTGCTAAAAGTCCAAATAGTAAGCGATAAAAGCAAAAGCGACATTGACCAGCTTATGGTGTATTGCAACGACCCCAAAACCTTGATTTTGCTTTTCTGACGCCAACGCAACTGGTAAGCAAACCGCCTGGTTTGGACTGGAAAGCGCCGGAAAACTAGCTCAGTTTTTCCCAGCGACAATTTCCCAATGGAAAAAGCGCCGGACGGATGTTTGATCGCGATTTTCTGCCGCAAATAGTTGGACGGCAATTTGAGCAATTTTAAACGACTTTAATGCTTTATGCCTTATATGGCTTAATAATTAAGCGGATAGTTGGGCAAGGACAGCGCAGTCAGCTGCTGGTACGCGGATTGTTCAAGTCGAGGTGAATCATGATTTATTGGAATTTTTGCAAAATCCACTCATGCACTTCAGTCCTAAAGTGAATCGAATATTTCACTAGCAATCGCTGCCCGTTCTGTGCATTTCAACGGCATTTAAGCGCAATCAATCCAGCCGATAGGAATTGCAAAATTATGCAATTTAATCAAACTGGATGATACAAATATGCACGGTGTTCTTATTCATTTTTAAACATACTTTTTTCGGCTTAATTGACACAACTTCTAACGCCGGCAGTGCGAGTTTTTGCAGTTTTTCCCGATTTATTGGCCAATTGAAGTCCAGGGCAGAAATAACCCGAAATATTCCCAGAAAATGTCCCCAATCCGCAATAATTTCCAACATAATATAAGCCGGCAATAAGTTGTACAATTTATCGCAGAGAAACCCGAGAAAAGGGTGATTAGAGAAACTTCACAGGTTTGGATTTCTTCATTCAACTGCGTTCAAACTAGGAGAAAAAAAACTGAAGAAAAGCTGCTTGAGAAGCAAGGGCGGATCCAAGGGGGGGTCATGGGGGTCATGACCCCCCCCCATTCAATTCTCTATCCAACGATGCCAAAACGAATTCTCTGGCTCGAATGGTTCTTGAGAAACTTCGAAAAAAGCAGCGTCATGTTCAAGTGGATTTTGCAACTCAAAAAAAACCACACAAATCTAAAACTTCTTGAATTCAAGCATTTTTTGAGAAAACTGCCAACATTTCCCCATCCATGGTTCACTTTCTGAAAAGGCCATTTATTTCTGTCTAGAATGATGTACAAATGAGC